GCAACAACTACAACTATTACACGTGACCTCGTCAACGTGCTGCTTGCTAGCGCTTGCATGCGTGGGCGCGTCATATCTTACTCACATCTTTTCAGTAGCGTTGCTTTCGCTACTCTTGTGTCAACCTCCGGAGTTCTAAGCAGCCTTCAAAGCAAGTTATATTCATCTTTCTAGGTCCTGATAACTAGCCACTTAAATAATAGTTTACCCTTCTCACACTATTCTTGTAAGTTACCTTTTAACGACCTTTTCAGATCATTGACTTAGGCGTTCAGTGTATAAAGTTGAGCCATCGTTTCTCCTTAACTTTTCACAAGGAGGCAATGCTGCTCCAACTGGAATGAATCAGCCATATGACTGACATTCTTCCTGGAATTCCTCATATCAAGTTGCAGAAATAGTTAAACCTGAAAGCTTTGTCAGTGTTGAGCTTGTGATATCTTCATCCCTTCTCTAACACAATCCAATTTCACACAAAGTCACTACTTATCTTAACTAAGTTGCCCTTTAGCTCCCGCTATACAGACCTTCTAAATCCCCTCATGAATTTTCGTCGAAACGTGAAATAATTTAATAATTGACTGGGTGTGCATGTGGACTACATCATACCAGTCCCACGTTAATATTTCTTGTTCTTTACATCATTTTAAAAGTAACCAACACATAGGATGCATTAAAGTGGTTTATTATAAGCGCTTCGGCTTTAGCACCATTTAACAAATTTGCCGTTAGAATTCCATTTCCTTTAGAGACAGTTTTCGCAAAGGATTTAAGTACTCATAGGTGGCCAAATCCTCCTCGTGGGAGCGTTGGGGTGATCGGGTGAATTCACGGCCTTCCATCCCCCAGTCTTCAAAGAGCGCAGTTGAAGGCTTTTGAGCGATTTGCTGTTGCAGATAACGGCTGTTCTCCTGCCTGATTATCCTCGCTCCATCCACTCTCCGGCCGTCGTCAGCATGCATTTTGTCTAGGAAGCTGAGACCACCATCAGTTGTAGGTACAATTGACCTCCCCTCTGGAATTAAAATGAGAGAAAATTATCAGACAGTCCTGTCCCTACGCCTTTAGCGCTCACAGTTGAACATGTTGTGCATTATAAGATGGTCTTATTTGAGAATTTGAGAAGGATTATTTCAAATTCTCTAATTTTCCGACTGTTGGAAATCAAGCCCTTTCACTTTTTTCTCGAAATTCATGATTAACTCAAAGTACGCAAGTATTTGGCATCGCATTGTTAACCTATATCGTGGTAAATTAGGGGGTAAGCAGTGGGCCTAGTTTTAGGCATTCCAGTTTGTCCAGCCGGTACGAATCGAACCGAGTGAATATGGCATCCGCACGAATGAGTTTTCGGGTTTCTTACAAAATAATAGGGCGACTAACACTCTATACGAAAATAATTTGTACCTTTAGTATAAGCAGCACTTACAGCTCGATGAGTACCATTGTCTGACCCTGGCTTCAAGCCAAGTTTACTGACTTACTCACCTTTTTCCTTTATTTGTTTGAGTTGTGCCTGCCTAATTTCCCTTTCCAGAGCCTGGCTCGCCTCCCTAATCTGCCGCTGCTTAGCCTCGTTTGCTTCCATCATATCGCTAGCTATCCGCTCCATAGCCCGTTCCCTTCTTTTCTCTTCCAATTGTTTCTCCTCTTCCAACTGTTTCACATAATCAAAGAAATCCAGGGCTCTTTGTTTGGCAATCGCCTTCGTAAAAGAACATGTTTCATTAGCTATTCGTTCAAATAAAAGATTCTCCTGATGTTGAAGACAACAATCTCCCATAACTCTCATTTTTAAAAACCCGGCATACTTTTTGTTTGTAAATCACTTTTCTACATTAAAGAACTTAATGTTCTCGACTTAGCTAATCCACTTAATGCTAGAACGCTTCAATACTCCTATACGTTAGCCTAGACATGGACCCACACGGCCCATGCAATGGTCCAATGTTTAGCTGTGGTAAAATAAGTAGTTACGTAGTAATTCTTTTGAAAATTTAGTCACAACTGATATGCGCAACCTGTAGCGTTACCCTCGTTATCGTTTTTATACTAAGATATTTGTGTTAGTCGTTTACTATGAGAAAAACCGTTGTTTTAGACATGATTTAATCTTAAATCACCTGATTACTCACTTTATCATGAAGCGATTTATCCTTCATTACCAAAACCTGTTGATTAGCATTGGAGGTCAACCAGGCTGAAACTCTTGCGTCCTCCACTTTCTTAGTCCAAAGTTCTTGATTTCTTTCCTTAATTTGCTGCTCAAATGCACCTCGCAGCATCGCTCTTCTTTCATAAGCTGCTTTGGTAGCCTCCGCTTTCTCACGCAAACAAACCTCTTCACGCTCTCTCTGAAACGCAATTCACGACATTTATGCATTATTCGATTGCATGATTAATGAATACATCAGTATTTAAATTTGTAGAACCAAAAAAAGTCGCACCTCGAGTGTAACCTGTTCCAGGAAATGACAACTTCAAATAGTATAGAGGATTAGGGCGAAAATTCACTTAAGCGAAAACATTGAAAATACTCAGCCTACCACCACTCTCACTGTTCAAAATATCAACGTCTTTTTCCTTATCACATACTCTGTTCATCCTAAGTGGTTGGACTTCTTACCATTTCTTCTGCTTCCCTCTCCTTTTGTTTTGCAATTTCTGATAGTTTTGCCTCTCTGGCTGCCATCGCGTCGCGTAATTCCTCATTTAAATCCCTTTAAGCATTGAGGGAGGAAATTAACATGAACCCACCTTTTGGGTCTGGTATTGCCATTTCCACAATCGTGGCCTACTGGTAGCCAAGTCATTTTTGCCATGCCCTCTTCTTTCCTATTCTCATAGGCCTTTATCTGCTTGTTCAATTCAACCTGTGCATTGAGATCCTGCATATAAAGCTTATTCAGAAGTGGTCTATAGTTATCTTTATTCATCGTTGTTTGTTTCCTATAACGGTGAAATGTGGTTAAGAAACCTAGAGGATTCTTAATCGTCCGATGTTAATGCTCAACGAGGAACATTAATAATTAAATGCGTTTCGGGGCCATTCTAAATTAACAGTAGGGAATACACGATTTGGGTAAGATAAGCAAGTTATTTATCCAAGAGAATAGGATTATACATTAGCAACTTAAGTGGACATTTAAAAAGTTAAATACCCCATTAAAAGCTAATAGCCGTGTACTGGATGGATACTTGCTTTAATCAATTCAGAAAATTTGATCTCTGACCCTTCCCACCCTTTCGATGTTAGTGGCACCAATAACGGTATTACTAGTGCCGCTAATTATTTCTCGAAACACAGATGCACGGGGCTCTAATATGCTTTAGTGGACCAGACACGTTGAATAACAACTAGTAATGGCTTTAGAAACCTAAATTGTGGATACCGCTAATAGCAAGCGTTACATTGCCCATTCCACGCCACGTAACCTAACGATTCACGATTGATCAAATTACTCAGAATTATCTTGGTCGCATTATACCGGTACTTCTAATCAGACTCTAATAACAGTGAATTTATACTGGTTGATAAAAGGTAAAATAATGGTAAGGAAAGATAATAGACTAGGCGACAGGCTATGCTTCAGGTTTAGGTTTAAAGTAAATGGGTACTGTGTACTGTCAATCGGACCAACAGCACGCCTTGTCAATGACTGTATAATTACCAATATTTCATTATATTTAAACTCAAGCGTGTGTTTCGTGGCCGAAATTGGATATGCCCTTACGGATACAGTGTAACTGCAGAGAATTCCAACCAAACTAATCCAGCCAGTAAATTCAACATATGTGCAAATAAATGCGAAAAGTAACGCGGATTAGTCTTGACGGAAGTATGCCTAATCATATTATTTTTCAATCGTATGAAGGGAAAAGAAAGACGGCTACAGAATTAGGAATCAGAAGTAAATTGCTAGCAATACGGTGCTTAAAATACTAAAAGTTACCTATATCCAGCTTTCGCTAATGTTTTACATTCAATTTCCTTAAGTTTTCGTAATTCTTCAATTTCCTCCCTTAGCTGCTCGCGACGGAGGTACCGATCTTCTTCAATTTTTAGAGGGACTTGATCAAGAAGTTCTGAATCTTTGTTAAAAAGTTCATGCATTTTTTGCCTAAAACTTGCTTTAGAAGCCACAGCATGTACCTCCGCTTCTTCAGGTTGCTTTTGTAGTCCGCTTTTGCCTTCTCATATCTCAAGGTGTACAAGCACTTGTACATATTCTTATCATAACTACAGAGAACAAGTAATCCCAAAGAAAATTTGGGTGAAGTTGTGGAAATAGCGTGATTTTATCAAATTCATATTGTGATCATTAGAAATTTCGCAAGGAGTCCTACTCCGAAAGCCTACACAACCCTTGAGCTGTAAGTGCTAATATAACGATACCCTAGATATGATATGCATGCATATTCATTTATTATTTATTTGTCCACAGACATTAAAATTTGAGTGTTTACTTCCCATCTCCCAGAAATACATATACTAACACGATCCCTTGCAATGATTTAATCGTGTGTTCGACTACTCGGGTACTTCCAGTTCTGTAGATTGTACTTCCGCCATGTCACAGCCTTTGGGCCATGCTAGTTGCCTACCAGCATTTCTTCTGCACGTTATTGCTATATGTTCTTCCACAATACTTTGGTTTATTACAATTCTACTGGAGGCTCGGAACACCACGTTCTAAAGCATCCAAGGTTACCAAGGTTTCCATACAATGGGGATTTTGTATCTCATATCATTGTATTAATAACCAAATAAGTGTGCAGATATTTGTACTAGTTGCTAGCATAAAAAAATGGGCCAACTTCTTTTTACCTGAATGAAATATGACCTGGAACATTCATTTCCATTGACTGAAATAAAGTAAACCTTTAAAAATTGGGACATTATTTCGTTTTCCGAGATTGTTTGGATTTGTGTCCGAGTGATGTGCTCGTTAAAATATGTCCAGTGCCAATTGGGAGCACGTAGGTGCGTAGCAAGTACGTGCGGTGCCAAATTATCAAATTAGCTAATAAACCTCCCACAAACAGTGAGACAAATTGGTCAGTGATCAATAAATTAAGGAAATATAAAACAGTCTATTTTGCTGGAGAGTTTACATGGATATTATCGGTGTGAAATGCATCTCAAACTGAAGTTTATAAGCCGGTTCAATTAAATAAACCATGAATACAAATCGAATTGGAACCAATTCAATACGTCCCCAGCAGCACTTCTTCCGGGAAACCCTTGTATAACGATAGGTGACTTAATACGGCCCATCAGTGTTTAATATACCTGGGTGAGCACTACGCGACCAAGTGCTTAAGCAAGATATTTTTACTATTAAATAAAATCTGGTAAATCCACAAGATACATTATTGATCGAAATGATTTGTGCAAGACATTTGTTCAGAGTGTGGCGAAAACCGGAACAAGACCATTGAAAGCCATGAGTAGGGGAACCCACTCATACTCCATTCGGATTAACACAGCTAACTATGCAGAAGTTGTAAGCGCGACAAAACCGAAAAAACGGCCAAACGAGTTGGTCCTTGAGGTATCACTAACACGGCGAATTATCGTCAGCTTATTCAAAGTATCAAATAATTCTGGTCTTTACTGAGTACGACTTATGTTTGATTTTTTCGGTTGTTTATACTTTACTAGCCCGAAAACCCATTTGATAATAGTGATGACTATTCCTGGTAAAAATGCTAATCCAGTTTCACAGCAAGGCTCGAAAGATATTAAAATAATGACTCGAGTAACATGAAGTCTAGAATGTAACAACCAATTGTTACTGTCTTTACTAATACAGGATACGGTGTTTTCCTTTCCGGATACATGACATGGTTTTAAGTGTTTATAAAAATTGTATTCTACTATAACTTTATTGCATCATATTGTATCTAAAACTAGAAAGAGTCGTTGTTATTAGTCTACGCTTTTGACTTAGGGCATTTGATCAAATGTATATATTTTCCTCCATAGGCACAAGATCAAAACTTTGAAATTGTGACACTTTAAATAGAAGCACATATATTTATTCAATATTTAGTTATTCTTAGTCCCATAATCTTCAAATCCGTCTACTTTACGTAGTCTCGCTGTGACCTTGAGTGCCGTTTCTGCTCCGAAGCAGCATGGAAATAATAACCCCAGGAGTCGTCCCCGTATCGCGAGATGCGCGTTGCAGCACTCGTTAGTGGAGGAAAAGACAGCATATTTTCTATTTTGGAAAGCATTTCCCAGAATCATGAAGTGGTTGCCCTAGTGAATATGCAACCCCCAGGTGCTGAAAAAGAGTATCTTAGTGATTTACGGTGTTATTTTAATAAGTACCGTAGAGATTGATAGTTATATGTTCCAAACTGTTGGTGCGGAAGGTGTTCGCTATCTTGCTGAAGCTATGAACATACCCCTTTACCAATCGAGGATCATGCACGCCGCAACGTGCCACTCTCTAACCTATGACGTACCGCCTAGGGACGAAGTGAATGGTTTAAATCACTTTATTTGGTGTATCTAGGTCGAGGATCTTTTTGGTCTTCTGTCGCTGGTTCACAGGACCCATGATGATATTAAAGGCCTGGTTTCTGGTGCAATTTTATCGAATTATCAGCGTGAGCGTGTTGAAAGCATCTGTGAACGTCTTTCATGGGTTTCACTGGCATACCTCTGGCGAAGAGACCAAAAAGAGCTTCTACTTGATATGGTTGGCGCTGGAGTGATGGCAAAGATTGTTAAGGTACGCGTGTTACTCTCTCCCAATGTGTACAGATAGCTTCTTTTGGATTGGATGTGGAACGCGATTTGGGTTGTTGGATCGCTGACTTCGTTCCACGTGCATTTTGCCTCGCAGATGATTCAAACTGTGCGCTGAATCCCTGTGGTGAGGGTGGGGAGTTTGAGACATTCACCTTTGATTGCCCACTTTTTACTAAACGAATCGTTCCACTTGAGGAGCCAAGAGTTGTCATTCATTCCAGTGATCCCTTCGCAACCGTCGCCTATCTTCGATACACGGGTTTCCGGTTGGAGGTAAAAGCTGATATACCGTTTATCATTTCCTATCTAGAGTAAAGATCGGATTAATATTTCTTCCTCTAGAGAGGCCCTGCTGAACATTGCTAAGGATATTACTGTTGGGGGTGACGTTATACATAGACGTCCTTTTGTTTCCACTGAGGATAGACTGACTGATCTCAGCACTGCTGTGCCTTTGGAAATTTCTCGAGATATACCAAATACGGAAAGACGCGACTGCTTGTTTGGTGATCAACCGCTGCTAACTCCCGTCGACAGTAGGCTTGGGATTCTTAATATGCCTGGTGGGCTTCTATCAACGGCTACGTGCATAGGCGTAGATTGTTCGACGGTAGAAACGGAGCTGCATTTACGTCTTAAAAACGCAACCCAAAGCGCATTTTCTAAATTGGAGTTGCTCCTAAGCAAGTTAAACATTTATACTTTCCACCACTTACTTTGGCTAGGTAGATTCGGTTTAAATTTTGATAGTGTGATTCATTGCCACCTGACCACAAGTGCTGAAATCTCGGATTCCAGTGTTCTTGGCTCAATTGATAATTCATTCAAGCAGATTTTTGACAGTCCTTCCGCAAGACGTCGTCGCGTCGGAAACGCACCTCCGAGTCTAGTCTGTCTTTCATCTCCGTGGCCCCTTGAAGTCCTTAATCGGTTTACTATTGTTGGGGTATGAGGGTTTCAACTACTCTATCCATTACACTTTATGGAATTTTGCTACATATTTGACTTAGCATTATGGTACACGATTGCTTTTGTTATTTAATTTACCTGCGTCCCCTTATCAGACCCAAAATATAATTTTTTTTACAGCTTTCACGCTTTTAATGCATTGCGCTTTTGGCAAAATGGTTTAAGCTAGCTTCACTAGAGTTAAGTTTTTGCAATGAGATTTTTGTGCTGGTCCTCTACGTACATTTTGTCTAGGTTACCAGCGTTGAGTTTGATATTGGTGGTGCCGCGATATCCCTGATAGTTTTTTTCCTTCCAAAGAACACGAGAACGCTCTAGACTTCACAAAGAATTGCTGACCCCGCGTTGACTGGAATGAGTAACTAAGCCCTTTTTACGTTTTCCTGCTGTGATAAGGTAGTTGGTCGTCACACTAATGATGATTGGAGGCTATCCATTTGGGAACGTGGACACTGTAGAGGCGCGCAATTAAAGGATTGGACTATAAACTGTCCAGGTTTCTTGCTTAGCCTATACTGTTTTCAACGACCGAGTACTGTAGCCGAAAGTCTCCACCACAATACTAGGTTGATCTGAAACTTCCACTCGTCTGCTATTTTGATACAATTCAGTCCCTAGAGTCGTTTTGAGGTGCAGAGAAAAGTATTTTAAAGTTGCAAAAATATCTCTTTAACTGCCCCGCGCAACTTAGCTGATGAACTTCATCTACCTCCGCTGTATGTCTTAAGCTAACGTCTTCTCCAGGGAGACAGCTCACGTAGTGGAGAACCTTAATGCAGCTGAAGCAACGATGACCCATTTACCAGAAGGTCAATTATTTTATAGTGCTTTTATTGACCTTTTAATGATGTGTGTTTGCCCTATCAGTTTGTGTGAATATGAATACTGAGAGTACTGAGAATGGTGCTAGAAACCAGAAATAGTTAAGTGAATGGTAGTTTAACCCAGCGGCCTACCTCAATACGGTTCTCACACAGAATTCTCACCATTATGATCGTACGACTGATCCGGAAATATAACTGGATTAAACAATCCTCTTTCATGTTTTCAGGTGGGTAAAGATGAGATTATCGTCGTGGCGATATCCAGCATCGTTGTTGCCGTCGAGGTGAGACATACTGCAGATGTAGAGGCGATGCGAGTGCGCTCGCTCTCTTACTGGGCGCCGGCTGTTACTGCGTCCTATAGTCAGGCGATTCGGTTCGCCTCTGAGTGCTTCTACTCTGGCCAAATCGGTCTAGTGCCTGAGACGCTGGAGTTGCCGTTACCGTCCACTTCCACCGTACTCCAGTCGGAAAGCCTGCAGTCTCATATCGAACAGCAGTGCTGGCTTGCTCTGCGACATACGCACAGGGTTATGAAGGTGTGTCGAGCTTGTATTTATTGAATTGCATTCACTATCTTTATCGGCTTTGGAACGCCCTTCATTAAACACTAGCTTTTACCACTTCCCTGGATAACTGGATCCTCGCCTGTGTTTCAAACGGATTTCTTATCAGGTTTCTTTTTCCCCGCAATTATAATTGTTTAGCAAATACCGTGTGCCTAAATACTCCCACCAATTAACCCGGTGACCCCTTTTCCTTTTATCTTTACGAATGCAGGAAGTTAGTTGTGTGGTGGTGGAAAGTATGCTTTATTAGTGCAAGAGTTAGGTGGCGGACAACTTTTTAAAGTTGGCTCACTGGAACGCGTGCTTAGCTAATTCGCACTGGACCACTTGCCATAGCGTTAACGAGCTTTTGAGTCGAGGTGCAGTTGCCCCAATTGCCTCCCCAAATGGTCGGGATGGACTGGCCGGGACAGCCGGCCGGAGGTACGCAAGACCCGCAGTTCCCACCGCCCCGCATTGGGTTGCACCTAAAGTTTCTGTCAACCACAAGTGAAATTGTTTAATACGACTCTCTCTGCACTGTTCATGCATTTTACTCGATGCCGCGTTCACTTATTTCTATTACATGTGAAACTAGCTCTGGATCGGTCATGACCTTTAGATTGTCACACTTTAACCTTGTTAAACACTCAATCATTTCTTTATGCTATCGCCTCGAAATGTTGGACTATCTAGTCGGATTTCGTGTGTCTGTAAGACCGCTGTTTACTCTATCAGCTAGCCTCGAAGGTACTGACACGATTACGTAAAGATGAGTAGTTTTTGAACTCACCCAAAATTGCCGACGGGACCAGGTTTTCTCCCTTGGCTAACATTGTGAAAGGCCTGACCGAATGCACTAAAGATGTTGTTCACACCTCCGTTCTTATGAAGCATTTCTGACAGCCGAGTGCTTTACCCATTTCTTGCATTCTATGGAACTACTTATACTCCTTTAGTGCGCAATCATCCGGCGCACATGGTAGGTCAACCTTGTGCGTGTACAGGCGCAACAATAACAACGACAACGGTTACTCTCTCTCAGCAAAAAAATGCGCATGATTTTCCGCACACTTGTCGAAGGGTTTCGCACGAAGAGTAAAGGGAGCAGCAGCTCATCAGTGGATCGGCTGAGTACGTCTAGGTGTCACTGGTTTCGTTGTTTATGCCTATGGACAGGCGCCTTTACCTAGTGGAGATGCGTTGCTCTCCTTTTAATTCGTAATGCGTTTATACTAGGAGCCTCGGTGGTAGAGGTTTAAGCTGCTGAATTTACTGGCTTAGGTGCACCGCATCATTGATTCTTTCTTTTTAATATTAAAATAATGGAGGTTGCAGCTCATCCGACAAATTCGACTGATGTTTGAATTTCGGATCAAAGCTTATCCGTCGATTATAAAAAAACTGAAATTTCGTAACATCAGTGGCGTTGCGCGGCTATCTTCGTAGCATCTTTTTCTGTTGACTCCATTTAAATTACTCACTCCTCTTTCACTACTATAGATTAAAAAGACATTTTGTGTTAAAATACTGAGAACTAGGTATGTGTTATGGTTCTGAGACGTGAAAAGGTGCCACTTTTATCATACTTCTAGGTAGGATAAGTTCTTAGAATTTACCATTTTATCGTCAACTTCACAGAGGAACCGCACACTGTCACCGCACCTTTTTTACATTTAAGGTGATTTTTTTCGGGTTTCGTGTGTACACACATCTGCTTTTTTTGCATCATCAACTGGTTAAGTAATTTATTAAGTCTGACCATTATAACATACTTAGTTGTATTTTAGGAAAATTCATTTTACTCGATAACGGTCGCTTTTAAAGCCTAGCACAAAAATAACTTTATTAACAAAATTTACCAACGCAGTTGGTGCTTCCTTTGCATAGATTTGCGGTGATTTTTGTGCCAATTAGCAATGTACCAGCAAAGAAGTATGCGCCGTTTTGGGGTTAAACTTTTATTAATAAACTGCGGAATACACCATCATCTAGATGCGAAGGCTTCGAAGGAAGGTGGTGGTAATGCACTGAAATTTGTTTATCATATCTTGGTAATTTTCTTGAAAGGGCTCTTAGGAAAACATTGTCTTGTAGCTCTGCTTTTTTTTTGTTTCCAATGGATACTAGTGGATTTTCGACAAAGAATGGTGGATTGTAACGGCGTTTTGAGAATGTTGCTAAATTTACTCTCGATCTGTGTTTCATTAAAAACGTATTATCCCGGATAATCACATTATTTTTTTCACCTCAGCACAGGCACCACCATCCTTATTGTAGCTCTTGGTGTTGAAACTGCTTTGTGATGCTTTTCAGAATTGTTTGTTCTGGAATTATCTGTTTTACCGAATTCTCAGGTGACCTATTGCTACACGAACGCAAATACTTTAGAAGCTATGCCCTCATAAACAGCGGATTGACAATTATGGCCCTATCTGGCTATTTGGTTATTTGGCTCAGGTATATCCTTTGGTTCATCGCAATGGACCGTGTGTATCGACGGGGTTAATTAGGGCGAGGTGTTCATGCGTACCCTTGTGCAGGGTCACAGACCTCTGACATGTTTGTAACGAGGAGTACTGACATCTTATGAGATCATTAGCTACTTTAAGCTCTACTGCATGTTTTACTGAAGTCACTCGCTTTAAAACAAAAAACGAAACTGATGTGAATCACTTGTGCATTGAAAAGAATGGTTCTGGTTACCATAGTAGTGGTGCGCATTGTAAATTTTGGCGTTACAACCGCTATTGAGATAAAAGCAATGTTTAAGTTTTCTGAGGAGTAGTGCTGGAAGGCGGCTTGGTGCTCCATCGTTACTTTATGAGGATGTTGGGTATAAATTGCCTCTCCCTGGATTAATTTAGCTGTGAAATTTCGGAGTTTTGCTGTTCCTTGTTAGAACTGCTTGGTTCGGCAGCGGCGGCAGTTGCACTGGCTTAAATGTCCAACAGACACTGAATCAGCTATTACAACAACCCCATTAGAAAACAGCATTTGTTTGATTTGCTATAATTAGTAAAATGTCAAAGCAAATCTTATGTGGCAGGAGAATTGGCCATTCCGAGTGTTAGCCGGTGAATCGAAATGACAACCACATCAGACAGCGAACACCTCGTGGGGCGTGCTCATCCTGCATGTCGCGTTGCAGTGACGTAGGGGGACGTGTACCTAACAAATTACATAAAGGTGCCCATGACTAATGTCCTGGCGGTTAGTGTCTGGGTCATGACTTCTTTAAATGTGTGGTCACGCTTAAACCTTCCATGGTCTAGGGCGCCTCTACTGTGGACGTGATCGTGTTGTGCTATCCGCACGATCAATTCCCGTACGTACGTCTAAATAGAGTAGCATCACCGATTAAGAAAGAAATGAGGCAAAATGGAGCCAAATGACACAGAAATGAATAAGGATTGGGGTTAGTATTTTACACTAAAAGTACTTTGAATTAAAGGTAGACGAGTGCTGTCATGTTGAATGTTCTTCTGATACCTGGTAATGAGGAGCTTGGTGTTGCAGGTGATGGAACCGGGTGGCTGGCGATCCCTTTTCTACTCTGTGGTCTACGCTACTAGCCTCAGTGTCCTGCAGAGCGTACGGAATAAGTTCCACGCGACGGTTTGCGCTGCAGTGACGGCGGCAGATGGGCGGGCCTGGTGTGCATGTGACGCGCGGGTAGCCTGGGCAGTGGTGAGTGCTCTGCCGAAGGGTGCGGTGGTGCAATGGCAGTTCGCCACTTCTCGACGCCCCCTCCACCTCCACGTGATGGTGTCTGCTGTTGCCGCAGACGAAATTCCCCCGCCTGCCCATCCTGGTTGTTGTCGTTTTGTGCTTTTTAAGTGCGGTGCTGTCGTTCCACCTCACCTAGGGCTGCCCATCGTACCCGTAGTGCGGTTTTTGGAGGAATCGGTGAACTATGTATGTGTGAACCTGTGCTATGAATAAGCTGTTTTCTGGTCACGATCACCTTATTATTACAAGGAATTCTTCTATTTTTGTAAAACGAAATATACATTCTTTCAAAATATAATATTGTGGAAGGGTTTTTATACATAGCTTTGTCTATTGGTAAGAGAATATCTCCAAATGTATGTTTGTTGAGAGAAGGTGTGTGACTGGACCATCGATTCTATCTTGACTTTATGCGGGTAGGAACTTTTGGATGGTAATTGATGTTATTTCCAACACAAGATTTGAAAACGAAGGTCTGGTTAATGAAGAGTTTGACACGCACTAAACACTGAGAATTTTTCCAGTGTTGCCGGTGACGATATTTGGGATTACCGCAAAGGTACTTTTTCGGGTGCCAACTTGTGCAGGCGTGAGGATACGATTTAATGTTAATATTTTAAACTGCCTCATTTTTATGCACATCGGAAATATGCCTTTGATTTTATTGAGTTTTACACTAGCTAAGGATTTCAAGGTCTTTTAAAAAGGGGTTCTTGATAGACAGTTCAGAAATCGTGATGTCACTCGGCAAATGTAGCCGCTATAATTTGTTACATTGAAAGGCGTACTAATGGTCACAAATTGCGAAGGGTCATTAAGGGCTGGATTTTTTACGTGACTCATTTTGTGAAATCGTGTTTCGCCACGGTGTGAGGGTAGTAACGTTTATGGCACGAAGAGGAGCAACTATTAATTCTTCTTGGAAATTTTGGACTGACGTGCTTTGTGAGGCTTTATCTATCGTCGTGCCGCGTAGTTATTGTTAAAATGATACTGTCGTGGTCTGGCAAGCTTAAGTTTCCTTGTACCCACTTGGAGCCATCCACCCGGCAGCATCTATGCTAATAGGAGCTTACTACTGCTTTAAGGGAGACCCGGGTTGCCTAGTTGGTGGCGGCGCAATGTTAATCCGTTGAAAAATGGCAAGCACCCTTATTTCTTTGGTTATCCATGAAACAGTGTTACATAAAGAAGGCATCACTTACAGTCGATTGAATCTATGGGGACACAGCGGAGGGAAAGAGATGACGCGTGCCTTTGAGAATTACGGTAAACCCGTGTTCTGTAAAATGTCTATTGACAAGCGGACATCCTATATAAATATGTTAATTGCCTGAATGAGCAACACGTCCTCCAATTCTCTATTTGCCGAATAAAGCTCAGGTAGATTGGTAGGTGGCTAGATGGGTAGGTAGAGAGTCAGGGAGTGATGGAGGAAGGGAGGGAAGGGAAGAGAGAGGGAGGAAGAAGGATGGATGAATGGTCAGCGCTAAAATGAGAGCAAATAGGTGAGGAGGGATGGCTTCGAAACATTAGCCTCGTGAAACTATTTCTAATCTAGACTCCTATTAAACGGTTCTGCTCTTAGGTCGATTTCCTTACAACCAGTGAGTGGCATACGAGATGCCCTCGTTGTAGAGCACAACCCAGTCCTGAACAGCATGAAGCCAGTGAATGTCTCCCTCACCACAAATGGGATGAAAGTTCGGATACAGTAGAGTTATCGAGATGCATCAATGACGTAGGGATCAAATGCTCCCCAACTTGCAAGAAAACTCAGAGTGACTTTACTGTTTCGCAGGTAGTTCTCAAAGCACCAACCAAGTTGTGGTAGTCGATAGGGGAGGTTGCCAAAGGGTAGCGTCAGGAGCGACGTCCGAATGCAGAGGGTTATGTAGTGATTCGATAGTTTTTAGCTATGCATCAAAATACCTGAGCATTGCAGTCTGCTCTGTAGCTCCACCTTAAAGTCATGGTAGTTACCTCTCAGCCCTATTAGACTTTATATATACACACGTTCTTCCAAAATAATTTTGGCTATTATGGAACACCATTGTAATACCCTATCTGTTTTTTTTGAAATTTCAGTTTTGGTGAAGAGACAATTGGAGGCTCCGACATCGTACGTCTATTGGACGGCCCGGCCTTTGGGCTACACAAGTAGGCCTAAGCCATACTGTACGTTACCAATACATATTCTGTCCAAGTATTATGTAATACGATAGTGGTTTACCCCTCGGTATTGGTGAGGCGCCACTTTTGTACTTTAAATTAACCCTCTTGTACCTCGCTGGTGGGCTGGCCTTTCGGGCCATGCCAATAGCCCAGACTCCTTCTCTGCGTTGAATATATATTCAGCCCGAGTATTTTGTCTTCTTTCGTCTTCAGGGAGTCTCGAGACGCTACAATTATGTTTACTTTCGCTATCAGGAAGTAGCGGAGATTTACAGTACTTCAGTGATGATTCGGACGCTAGAGTGGCAGGATTGATTTGTACAATTACCACTATACAAGTTTTTTGTAGTTCAACCAGATGAATAACAATAATGATTTTAAACAAATGGCACAAAGCAAAGCCGTTCACATATGACTTTAAAGTTCGATTGCATGTATTCTTTGCATCAACTCGGTGTGCAAGGCCTCTTAAAACAGCATGTTTTACATTAAACTTAGGAATAGAATTAGCAGGAATGATAAAACAGTCGGGGAGAATTCTCTGATTTTCTAGTATTCTCCAATACCTAGGTAGCTGTACTTTCATAAAACGCCTAGCTGAAGTTATATTAGAGTGCACTATTTTATGGCTTTCCTTGACATCTCATTTGCTGGTTTTTGAAGCAAAATTTGTCTTGTAATTACTATAATGTTTTAATTTGTTTCGAATATGTGCCTCATTTTAAAGTCAGCTAGTCGCCAGGATCTAATGTGTGCGCGTGGTCGTTTCTACTTTGCCCACTTGACATATCATTCGCATACTGTGTTCCAACCAGGATTAAGCAAAATTTTCCCGGTGTATCTCTTTAGTGGACTTATTAAACCTCATCTATGTCGATAAGTTACAGAAGGTCCATATTGTATTGCTCCTCATGATTATTGCTAGTACCTCCTTTTTACTAGGAGCAATTTACTGTTGAGCGATCGCTGATAACTCGTGAATGTTTTCTGGGGAAAATGCTTTAGTTACGGGGGTTTGCTTGCTAACTCTTTGAGAAATGAATTTATGCCATATTTCTTATTCAGGCTCTATCTTTATAATGACCTCTCCGGCTTCACGTGGATTTGGATTTTTCCTGCCTACAGCATTGATTCGTATGACCGGATCTTCCTCTCAGAGTCACCCATATTCCAAGTCCATGACCTTCTTACAATCACTTACTAAACCTGACACTTTTCTTACAAAGATAGATGGCGCGTTTAATAGCCCCGATCCCTCCCAATATTGTCAAAATTTTGGGGTTGAGACTTCTTTAGTTATTTTAGAAAACTGGATTAAGAAGCTAGATATCGATAAACACTATCCTCAGTTGCCTGAGGCCAGTAACCTCGCGCCTCTTGTTCCTCAGTGAGTGGCGAGCTGCGCCTTTTTCCTCAAACCTGTCACACGAGATGCTCAGTTTGTTTATATCCCATATTTAGGGTGGACAATGTGTACTTAGGGAGTGGTTTTACTTATGTTTGTACCAGGATACCTTATTTTGCAGTAATTTTGCTTCAATGTTTTTTAGTCACTATTGTAGGGATATTCAAATTCATACAAATTTTGCATATGTTTCTCTCTAATTTGATTAGCTATCTGAAAGATTGCATTTTAAGTAGGATTAGAACAAAAGTAAGGGAAGCAATTGCATGTATACTCTCGAGAAGCGCATCAGTTTTGCTCCTTGTGTTGATCAGTACAAATGTGTAAGAAATTGGGTGCAACACCTGGGGTTAACCTGAATATCATCTTGCTAGGTATTTACTCCCATGAAATGTTTGACTTCACGTGTGTACTTACTGTGTTCATCCAAACTCTAGCAACGAATGTCTTCGAAAGCTAGTTGAACTTGGTGCTGACCTTTCCCGAATGGAGTCGGAACCGGGAGTAGCCAATCTTCTAGTTAAAACTGATTTCAACACCGCTATTGCTCCCAAACTTTGGCTTCTCTGCAATTTTGGATTCGAGCTACCCCATGTGTCTCGTATCATGACTCGCGTTCCCAAGTCAATAATCAAGGTTTGTTTTCAGTTCACTGACAAATCCTCCTCTCTATGCTGGGTTAGTGATTTGCTGATTCCATTTCCGAAGCTTACCAGAACCTTTTTTCTTTTTTTCAGTTGTCGGTTGAAGAGATTGCATCTCGACTAAAGTATTTTTCAGATCGTGGATTCAGCTCAAATGATGTTATTCGTATGGTGTCCGACCAGCCAATGATATTAGCTTTAACAAGTTGCGAAGTGGACAGGCACTTGGGAACACTTATGAACGTGTTTGACTTTAAGGGTAACACCTAGTTTTACTGCTCAGTATACGTGTATATGTAGATTTGATTACCCTACCGTAATACAACATTCTAAACCATTTGTTCCGTCTACTTTGGTGATTCGTTTGGTCCAAATTATGTTTTTTTGATGTAGCTGATGAAGTTCGACACGTTGCAAGTGAAGCACCTGCATGCATTGTACAGCCGGTAAAATCCACGAAAGTAAGATTCCAACTTTATTTTGCTTTTTTTGAAATCTCAATCAAGTCTCAAGATAACTATATCACCCCGATTTTTTTTTCCTGTGCATTTTTACGGTCTGTAATTATCATCTACGCTTCTACGGGATTCCCTATTTCAGTTTAAGTCCGCAGTTTATTAAAGCAAGCTTTCGTCTTTACTTAAAACAAAGCTGGACACTGAATGGGAGGTTTTGTAAGCATAGTTATGCTCTTAGTGCATGTGAATCGGGTTTAACTGTCTGTCTTTTTTCACTAGATGTGTACACCCGTTTCGCAATGAACTAGGCTGAATAAGACTATCTACTACATTGTGTCGGTGCTTTCGTTCTTTTCCGAATGCATCTTATTTATTGTAGAATGTTTTTGTCGTGCTTACGAAAATGCTTGACTTTTCGGTCGCCTCTGCCCGTCAAATGATAATTGCATTTCCCCGAATGATCCTATCAAGTAAGCCTTGATGACTTCACTTGGTGGATGTGCTGTTATGGTCCACTATCAGTGCATTACATGTTTCAAAATGGCATTAGTTAATATTGAAGTAAGTTTGTTCATATATCCTACTGTAATGCAAAACGCTAAGGGGTAGTTTCTAGGTAGTAAAAAGTTTGATATTTTGATTTTATGCACATACCAAGTTGGATTTGTAGTCAAACATTTCATGCGTTTTAAATAAATTGGTTATGGACCAATTTCAGATCAGGGGGAGCATAATCTGTAAACGACTTGAAGTTCCTTTCTATAGTTGAAGAATCTCAGTAGCAAACACAGAAGGGTACTTGTAGTGAAAACTACATAAATACCCGCTACCTTCAATTGTCACTTTTTTTTGTTCACATCCAGGTAACCGCGTCCTCTCCACCAATGCCTTTCACCTGCACCGACGTCTCCAGCTTCCCTTCGACCAAATCGCCCTCTGTCCTCGCGCACTCTGCGCACCCCCGCGCATCCTCGCGGAACGCACTAACTTCCTCAAGCTCTCTCACCGCTTCCAACCCGACAGAACTAAGTAGGTCGCTCTTCCTTCCTCTAATTCAGGACGACAGTCCCACCAATTATGATGTCCCTAGCAGATTTGGGGCTTGGTCACTTGCATATGGAGCAAGATCTTCCACAAAAAAATCATATTCTTCAATATTTACTACCATGATTAATGAACCCAAATCATTGTGCCTTTCATTTCTCTGTCCTTGGCTATTTTCCCTTTTGTCATGAGTAAGAGATTCATCGGTAAAACCACCTGAACTCTGTTACGGTTCGCTTGGGATGTTTCGTTTTCATAAAATCTAGTTTTTTTCCTACATAGGCCTCTCTACACACCGTTGGATGCCATCGTCGAGGGCACTGATGGGGAATTTTGTCAGCGATTTGCCGAAGGCAAGGAAGACCTTTTCAATGATTACCTACGGACAATATAAGTACTTTCCCACTCGTGTACATAGTAAATGCTTTTCACAAAGCGCCATTCTTAAATAACGTTCCCATTCGTCTGGGCATTTGTACGCAGTACCATTTTAGATCTATTGGGAGTATGATGAAATGGAGAACTGGTATCTACCGCCAGCTGTAATGATTTCGCTTTACGGACTTGTATGTTCAGCAGCACGATTCCTAGGTCTTCACGGGCTGACTTTCCATTGGATGGTGTGGCCTTCCCACAGCAACTACCGCCTTTCAGGCGCTCTATACGTTGCTAGTGGACCCCCTGAGCTTACGTGGCTTTTTTCGACCCGAGGTCATGGGTGGGCACATAGTGGCGTTGCGCGTATTTTGCTTGATTTGCAAGGGTTAAACGTGGGCGAAGTGATTAGGGGTCGGACGTAGTGAATGAGGATGTTCGGCAGACACCGATATGATATATGAATTGGTTTATTTGTACAAATATTTCATTTAAGTGAAATCGTCCAACTTCAATCACTCTGCCAAATAAGTACAGAGTATTAATATCAAAATAGTGAACATCTCGCCGTCAATTGCTAGTTCTCATGATGTTCAGATAGTAATGAAATAATATGACTTGAAATTGCACTTAAAATTTGGTAATTGGTAAAACTATGTTCGACTACTACCTGCGGTACCTAATTGACAAAGCACTAATAAAACGCACTTCAAATACTTGAAATCAACTATAGCATTTTGCTGCAATAGTGAATCTGCATCATAGTTAGTTGAAGTTAGGTATATGCTTTATTATTACACGAAACCGGTTAAAGTGGTGCTGTGGGGCGCCTCTCTTGAACTCACCACCTTTTTCGTTGCATGTATTCTTGTATGCCTGGCGTCGGTGGCGATGCATGCGTGTGCTCGTTGCTTTTTACTATCATGTCGATTTTCATCGCCAAAAGATAGGAGAGGTAATAAGAGTCCTCGGACTATCTGAAAGTTTAGCATTGAACAACTTTTTGTGCATCGCCCCCCTCTACCTGACTCGTTGTTCCAGTTCGCCTAGCGGATCAAGGCCCCTGAACCCCGAAGGTACATTTTCAATGGTTTCTAAGCAATACCTGTAGTTATTCCAAAGATTAGGACGCCACTCAAGTATGACGATTCGATTAAATCTGTCAAGTATTTGACACCACTGAGAGCCGTCATCGAATACATGCTTTCCACGGCGTTAGTTATGTTTAACGGTTATCCTTTTTCTTTAGGGATTTAGACAAGCTTCCTAGGTATTATAGTCGCAGTCCTTATTCGAACGAAGTGCGGACACAAGTTTTTCTCCGATCAGATGTCGAAAAATTGTAAGATCGATGAATGTGCGATGCTTATTTGCTAGGGCGCTAGAGAAGCACGGTGGAAAGGAGGCTTTTGAGAAGCGTCGAAAACTAGTGAAGGACCTCGAACGGAAGGCTACAATAGGTAGACGCTTCGTGTTTGGGTGAAATAGAGGCTGTAGAAAGGTTTGCCCGCAGAAGACTGAACAAGGATGCTACTCAATCTTACAAATCAGAACCTGGTATCCATGGCGTAAGTCGCCTTTATTCCATTCGTCGAGCTATTGTCAGCATTATGCACGTTTAATTATGCTGTAGTACGAACGTGGTGAAATGAGTTAACGGCAGGCTAGTTGACGTCATGTCTACCGTCATTGCTTATTTTGTCATTTCAGCTTCTCACTCTTGCATCACTAGTCATCTGCATAACAGAAACAAATTTATGTTTTGTTGATTTTATTTTTAAACGCTTTTTTGTAGTCGAGCATGGTAACAACTAATTCGTGGCGAGTTGGTCCGGGAAAGGTCGTCATGATGGCCATAATAATGTGAGTTTCTACCTTTAACCCAATTGTGACTATATTTTTTATGGCGGGAAATTCATTTGACCTTTAAGAAAGCAACTCCTATTCAGGCTATCGGTGATGGAGATGGTCTTTCCTCTTGACGTAGAAATGGTCTCAACGTTGTGGCCAAGGCGATGGCTTGGTGGTACACCGGTTCAAAGAGCATGTTCTCCGAAATGATGCACTCAATAGCCGATACGCTTAATCAGGTTAATGCAAATATTCTGTGAAGAGGAACGAACTTTGTCTCCCAATTAACCCAAATTCGATTGTTTGCATAGTAATAAATTTTCCATTGGTTACAGAAATGTGTGGATTTTTAGATTAGTCATATCAGTTGAAATGAATGATAATTATAATTTTTGTAAAAGAAAGTTGAACTTTTTTGTTTTGGCTGATAGTAGTAAGTGACCGTGTAGAGTCGTAGAATGCTAATTTGTTATTTGTTATTCCTTCTGCTCCTTGAAGTCTCGCAAGTCTACTTATTACTATGTGGCTATCTCTTAGATTTTGTACCAGTTAGCCTATGATGGATTCAAAATGCCCTATCATTGCTTATTATTCGTGCTTGCAGTACGTGCACATATAGTGACACTATTTCTGCTTACTGTGCTCTATATTCATTATAGGTTATTCTTGCCTACGGTCTCCGCTCTTCCCTCCAGCAGCCTGACGTGGATCATCCGTAAGCAGTGCCTGTTAGTTTTACTCAAGTTACTTTTTTTATTATTTCTACTGTGGCACTACAGAATTGGCGGACTTGCCACTTGACGCATGACGTGGAGGTTGCTGCCGGCTTATGTGGCGCGTGGTCTATACACACACGAGAGTGCCTACCTATGAAAACACAAGAGGCATTATTTGTTGATTGTGCGAGTGTCCGACGGATTTGCGCGTATGATCTTCATGTTCGCGTTGTATTCGAATGCTCACTCTTTCAGCTTATCTGATTAACCGAATCAGAATAATTTGGCTGGAGACTGCTCTAGCGGTTCACAATCTGAGGTTAGAAATTACTCAATTCCTCTTTGCTTTTTTTTGCAGCTACGGTTACTCGCGGATGCGGTGCATCTCCTCACTGATAAGTGGGGTGGGGATCTTTTTTCTCGGTTCGGGTTTCACTTTTTATCACGCGTTGCAGGGCATGGTGATGCCTCTGGGGCTGGAGTATACCTCAATGTACGGCGCTATTGGGGTCGCACTGGGCTCCCTTATAACGGAAGGCTCGACTCTGCTGGTCGCCTATAAAGAAGTGAGGCGGAAGACAAAGGAGAACGGGTTTGAGTCGATTCAAGCCTACCTCCTCTCCGGCACTGCCGACCCAAGCACCGCAGTGGTCCTCCTCGAGGACTCTGCTGCCGTCCTAGGCGTCCTCGTTGCCGGTGCTGCTCTCTCCGCTTCCGTCCTCACTGGCACTGCTTGGCCTGACACCCTTGGGGGTGTCGCTATCAGTGGCATCCTGGCTGTTGTCGCCGGTTTCATCATTCGCACCAACTCTGACATCCTCATTGGCAAGTGAGTCCATTCCACACTACCAGTATCCGGTTATCAATCAGCTGATACTTTGGTACCAAGTTATCACCTTAGCCAAATTTATATTGCAATACTAAACTGTCGATTGTAGACGGCCGGGTTACTCTTATCCTCATTCATTTCAAGCTAGTAAGATTTCGGTCATTTACCCATTTTTGGACCTGCGTAAGCGCATAATCCATACTGCTTGCGCTTTTATATGCAAACCAGGGACGTGAATTATTGTTGATGCAGGAGGACTGAAACCTATGAGTTTAGTCAACTTTATCAATGCCGCAGATACGTAAAGTGAGACAGCAGTGTGGTGGGCTATGCTCTCACTGTCAATTTGCAAGCTAATTGGTGCTTTGAATGTAAACTCATTGTCATTGAGTCCACAATAGATGCCTGAAACATAATGAATATCAAGTGTCAGGAAAAATCCTGCGGTTTTTGGTATTGCTCCCCGTAAGGACTTGTGAAATGTTTTTTGTGCTATTTACTTTTCTATCATTTTGATTTGTCGCACTATAAGGTGGTCGCTTGACTTAATGGATGCGATCCGAGGTAATCAGATTTACGAACTCAGTTCGGTTCTGTTCCAAAGATGTTGCGCAAAATTTTGAGTGCGGGCAGTGTGCGGTCGCAGGACGCACTGTCCAGAAACGGCTTAAAGAAGTCGAGTGGCTCTGGCGAGGAATAACTCAACAACTGATGCATCCCGTTTTGGAGGGAAGACACTATTCGTAATAACAATGAGGAAATACGTGTTGCTATCAGTCAGACGACTTTGAGGCTAATGCGTCAAGAACCTACCTGAAAGTAATGGTTAACCCAACGTAAATGATGAAACGATTGCATTGCACCTACGTCAAATGGGAAGGGGAAGTCCTGGTGGAAGCTGAGCAAGTGGGTTGCACCCGCATGGATTAACAGACAACAGTATGCTTCAAGGTTCGTCTATTTATTCTTCACTTCCTTCGCGAGTGTCAGAAAAGCAGGGCATTCTTCGGTTGCCTGATTGACTGATTAGTGATGAAAAGTGGCTTTTGAAGTGCAGAGTTTTTTACCCGAACGAAGATATCACTGGTTACCTGCAAACGGCCAACCCCCATTCCACACTTCTTAGGTAGGCGCCACCTCGCCCATATTCCTCTGATTAGGATGTTTTGTGTGTGGTGGACTGGAGACATGAGTGTTCACTGGAACCCTCTTTCTGTAAACTAAACAATGGTTGCAGCTCAGAATCTGTCAACTCGGCACGAAAGTGGGAAGGATAAACTTTTTCTTCTCCATGAACAGTCAGTACTAGCCATTCAGTTAGAAGGAAAGTGCTACTTTTATTCATATAAGGAAACCGCCGGAAAATTTACCCTTGAGAGGAGTTGCATTTTAGGTTAAGCGCTGAGTTATGCTGCCTCACCTTCATCAGCATCCTCCTCGGTATTCTTTCATTTTTTAGGTCATAATTATCACCTTTTCCCGATAGTAGACAATCAAATACCAAATGGACAGTTGGGGAACTGAAGTGCAGTAAAAGGCGCTGCTGGGGCTAGCCTTTTAGCTTCTGGAGCAAACCGTCTGATAAATGTGGAACTTGCAGGCATGTGTCTCGATGAGGAAAAACAATAAATTATGGAACTATAATGGCTATTTGTTCCAGTGGATGAAATTTTTTAGAAAGCTTTCTGTAGTTATTTAAGTTCTACCAAAAACTATTAACTTAGCTACTCTACATCAATACCCTCCCAATGGTTAAGGGTAGTTTGACAATCAACTCATCGCTGATCCAGTGATTGGTCGGGGTAAACCGGTCTGTTTTTATCTTCAATTGCCTTGCACGAAATTCTACAGTCAGCCGCTCGCCACTATTCTGAGGAGTGTAAATTCTTTTCCGTTGTTGCGCCTGTGCTAACATAGCCCCCGCCCCTCTGGCCTCGGATATGTACGCGAAAAGCAGACGCGAGTCATCGCTGTTGCGGTGACGCATTCGATCTGAAACCTGGGCTATTGCTTAATTCAATCGGTGTCACAAATGTTCCAGACAAGGGCACAATGTTGTAGACAAAATTTAGCCATCCTTACAAGCTCCCACAATTTAATGCGCATTTTGGTGCCTCAAGTCACAAGTTTTAGGTACAATTCGTTGCCTTGTATTGATCTTGATGTTCTGTTGGCTTGCAACAAAGCCATCAATATCGGCATCTGTTAGTCTAACCTAATTTATTTTTGATTTTGAACTCCTTGAGTGCTGGCCTCGCTTACTGGCAATGCACTTGCTTTAAATTCAACACCGCGGTTTTTGTGATCCTCATCCTCGTTCCCCATAGCATGTGTGCACTGAACCACTGACTTTTTAGTACTTCACCTATAGCTTAATGATTTTTTGCTGCCATATTGCGTTGCATCTTTTGCTTATTTGATTAATTTTATTCACTAGGGAGACTAGTTATCGATCACTTGTCTGCGAAACCAGTGTCCTGTTTACATCCAGCATTTAAATCGCACGGATTTGTTGTTTTTGCTCCTAACATTATTTTGAGTCAATTTTTGCAGTGACATGGGGGATCTTATTCTTGTTCGAAAGTTAATTTGCGGATTTGTTATCTAGTGTGAATGCATTATATTTAATGAAGATTTGGTTCTCTATTGCTTGAGCCAACTGGTTTAAGGCTCAGATTTATAATCTTTCATTTATTATGGCAAATTTACGGGTCCATTGTAATAGAATGTTTGTGACAGGTTCGTCGTTTTTGTTCTATGCATTTTCAATCCTGTTTTGTAAACGACTCATCTTACCTATTGTTTACCTTGTGCTAAACGTCGCTTCCCCCAATTTTCTATCAACGGTCAGTGGAGGATCCTTGTTTTTTTATAAAGCGCTTTACTTACAGATATAAGTAGGCATTAACTTTTCTTTCTCCAGATCCATATCATTGGAGAGGCAGGAGAGGATAATGCGCTTCATTGATAATGCAAAGATCATCCGGGGCACCTACGACACCAAGGCAATGCTGATGGGCGGTGACAATGCCATCCGACTAAAGGCCGAGGTGGACATTGACGGTCGCGAGTTGACTCGTAGGTACCTGGAAACCATGCCGCTAGGCACGCTTTTGGCGGTGAGTGCGATTGGTAGTTTTATTATTTTTATGGCGATAATCTTGGTCTTATCTGGCCCGGATGTTTTAGTGATTTGTGACAAAAGTTAAACACCTGGCCAGTAAGAACCACCGATGATCGAGGCCTATCTTTCTTTCGTGAAATGGTTGCCCGTATATGCTTAAACGTTTAGCATTTTTATTTGGTGATCGGGTGTAAGTGTGATTTCTCTGCGAAAATAGGCGAGGACAGCGTTTTTGTCACCTTACTGTGACTTTCTCTGCTGAGTAGAAGGAATTGAGGCAGCTTTTTATCTGGTTTGATTTGTCTATCAGGAAATCCAAGCCATCAATACGGAGGAGCAGCTGATACATTTCATGCTGGACCATGGGGACCAACTGGTAAATACCCTTGGTGCTGAGATAAACCAAATTGAAGATAGTCTAAAGGTACGGTCTCTACTTATTTACTCCTCGGGTGTCATTTTATTGCCTGTTTTGCAACTCCCTTGAACTTCTCTAATCAATTTCCCTATTTCATTATAAAAAGTGGTTAAATGTTCTCTGTATTATTTTTTAATTGTTTTGTGTCGGTTATTTGAGGGTTAGCTTGCAATGCCATCACGCGTTTCTCACTTCAGTTTTTTATCTCAACCAATCGATGTTATTCTAGTCAGTATAAACTTTCAGTTGACTGCTTGTCTAGTTTTATTCTACTGAATGCATGTTCAAACAATGGGACATTTGTGGTATTCACTTCTCATTTTTAACTCATGAGTACCACATCAAATTGCTTAGGGTTTCCAAGTGAAGTCGCCGCGCCTATCAAGTTGAGGTCGCGTTTCTTCTAGTATGTACTCATGCGTTCGAAACACAGAGCGTCACATGCGTTTTCTCGGTTCGCTCGCACATGTCAGGATTTTTTTGCTTTGTCTGCTGCGCGCTCCTCAATAAACGGACGACCTATGCCACTAAAAGTAGATACATATAGTAATCACGATTCTCCTTCAACCTCTATGAACACGCGTTTTCGATTTTGTGGTAACAGTTGGGATGGTGTTATCCTGAAGAGTGGAGTCCACTTAAGTTTCTCAAACTGCTTTATGTTAAATATAAGTTTTTGGAAGCTGAAAGACTGAATTTATTTAGGTACTTTTTTCGCTCTCTTTTGCATCTTTGCCTTCTAAGGACGTGTTAAACAAAGTGGTACTTCTTTTTATTAGAAGTATCAAACTAATTTAAAGTTCCTTATCATTTCTGGCCTTCATAAGTCAAAGTGGCTTTGTAGTGAGTGCAATTAATTATACTTGCGTGAATCATGACCCATATAGTTAAAGTTTTTGCTCAAAATGTGGGATATCGCCTTTTATTGCTTTCGCTTCTCTCTGTTGATACGACCCAACTAATACCCATGTTTTGTACTATGCCTTTCAAAACTTTATGTTAAATGTACACAATCGCTGCTCCGCTGTTTCAATTATCCATTGTGGATTGTTTCTTAATGACTTTGTCAAGCATTTAACAAAATTTTATTTGTGTTAATCTGCTATTTTCCTGCAAATGTCTATACTATGCGCATTGGTATGGTTGGCAAGCCGACCAACGTCAACCTAGGGCTGGGGTTGAATAGGAATGGTTTTAACCGTGTGTCTCGATTTTTGCCACTGGTTCGACTCGTTAAAATAAATCTATTTTATGGTGTGTACCGTGGCAACTTTACCACTTTCACATAATCATTGGAGACGGCATGCTTTAAGCATCCTGCGATGTCTTTGCATTCATCACTTGCATCGTCTACCAGTCAATGCTTTGGTATGGAGAACGTATAGTATGCCCTGCGATATTCGAGGCTACTTTTTTATAAATTACAATCATGAAATTGTTTCTGAACGCTAAGTATCGTACTTGCTGTTTCGTCATGCGCTGATTCTTCCTTTTCTCTTCCCTTACAGAGAGAATTCCCCGATATAAAGCACATAGATATTGAAATCAACTGAGGCCATAGAGGCCGATCTGATACGATCGTCAACGTGCGCATGCCGCAAGCGAACTCAGGATCCATTACTTAACCCAACCTCCTGTACACACTCCGTCATACATGCCTCGCTTGCTTATTTTTTCCTGCTTTTCTGTGCACAGACACAGTTATATCACTGTTTTGCTCAGCCTCCATGAGAGATCGATTGCGTGCTGGAAGTTGCGTTTGTTCAATGAAAGCTTAGTGTATTTTTATATCTGTAATATTCTAGTGCGAATAGGTATTTTTCTTTCTATTGAAACTTTTGATTCATCCCTGTTTCTACCTGGGAGGAGTCCAGTGAGCGTTTTTTAACATCTGATTAAATGGTTGTATGCTTCATAAATGTTTGAATCGTGTCAGTCTCATCGCAACTCCCGGACTGACTGAGGCCTCGTTCTTTGGCTGTGAGTATTTTATGTTTGCAATCAAGGTGCTCCTGCTTAGTTTATAAGCTGCGAATTTTCACTAGGTCGATCCGTATTTTGAGGGTGTTCGTGGAATTGCTTTTTAGAGCTAGATCGAATGTATATTGGCCCCCACCTCAGTCTGGATGTGTGTTTCGCACTTCAGCAAATACCTCTTTTTTGCGTGTCGCCTCTTGGACTGGATCATCGCTTAAAACCACTGATTTGGTATTGTTGCACCTGTAGGGCTATCGCGAACGTAAAGTAATAAGTCGTGCCAGCTCGGAAGTAAGTCCATCGTAAGCTCACGAAAGGTCACGGAGACGCAGACAAGTCATCACGACACCGGCGTGGCAGGCGAATTGAAAATATTGAAAAACCCGCGTAGTTGGGCATACAGTTACACACTGGATATCGCTGTGCCATGATGAGACTATCGGTAACTATGTGCCACCCCGCAAAATACGATGCTTTCCCACTCTGGTTTTGTTGATGCTTGATTCCTTTCATTGAAACCATTTCACCTCAACTGAATGCAAGTGCAATGGTATTCCCCGTCTGATTTTGTTAGTGTCATCGTGAACGCGTCTTTATTTTTCCCAATTCGGATACATGGAGACAGTTTTAGCAATCATATTTGTTACAGCATATCTATATTATCTCCTTTCTACCTTTGACTTGACAATATGCAAACATCCGTCAATTCTTATTAAAAAGGGAAAAGACGTATTTCCCAAATAAGATTGACAGTCATTCACTACGACGCAAGTTTGCGCACAGCCTCTAAGTCATTTCAAATAATCAGTGGTAATGGAATAGAATGAATCTTTTATCGACTTCTATAAAGTACTTTCAGGGTCATTAAAACTTTGGGTTTGGAAGATGATGCAAGCCTTTTCAAGCAAACAGGAAATTTGTATTTTCGTTTTAAATCAGACGTGCGTGAACCGGATTTTGTTCCGCCATCAACTTCAAAGTTGGCATTTATCTCAGGCTTGGGGGACAGTAGCTTGTCCTTTTAGGACATTTAACTGGGTAAATAGGTATCTTAGTCATTTGTGCGTCCCTTGTTTGACGAAAATCTGATATCCTAGTGTTATACTCAACTCAGCTGTCGAAGTTGACAGAAGCTTGATGTGGTGCTACAAATGGGGGTATTTATAATTCGAAACTTTATTAGTCAACCGCCACATTGGAGGCATCTTCACCCGTTACTGGTGAAGTGCAATCGTATGTGACAATTTTTGAACTGAGTACTCACATTCATCATATTTTTAGGTCCCCATTATCGTTTCGCTTATACTATTTATTTTTAAAGTTATGTGGAACAGAGGTACGTCTATTGCATGCTTTATCATTTATCTTATGCTCATTTGACTCATTTTTCCACAATGATTTTGTCAAATATGCGATTAATTGTTGCTCTTAACTTTGTTAGCATTAGAATTCTGTAGTCTGTTTAATTAGTACAGATTTGCACCATATTCCCTTTCTGTTTATCCATTGTTCACTTATCTACTTTACTAAAGATTTCAAGTCGACAAATGCTCTTTACTGCGGTCTCCTAAGATTCACCGGACATGGCTTATTATTACACTGACCATTGGTCTTTCAAGTGTATTGAAGTCCCTTGAGCACTGCTATCTACTTTAATCATATTCACTTTACGATACGTTCGCTACTCTTGTTCCACCTCGGAAACCCTGAAGACATATTTTGCTGACTCTACATTACCTTTAAATGATGAAATCGGTGGTGAAAAACAATGCTATGAGTAGTTATTTGCTTCACGGGTATTGGAATAAGGAATTTTTGCATCCACCTGAATGGCCTCAGCACAAAACTAGAGTTGAGCGACTTGCTTATGCTCTCATAACGTGCTCAAATTTGGAAAGAGGTGCAAATTTACGGAAAAACTGAAATTTGCCTATGTGCGTACTTTTTCTTGGCCAATAAACGCGTCCCCACCTGCCCCACCTCCTCCTCCAATGAGAATGCTCCTGCCTATCGACCGGCCTATCAGCGCTCGGAGGCTGCTCACGCGTGCTAACAGAAAGACGAGTCTGCAGAGCAGCAACGGCATCAGCACCACTTTTCATACACGCCCAAATGGGTCGTACCAAGGATACAGCAAGGGACAGCCTCCCCATGGAGAAGACTCATCAGCACCATCACACCTCATCTCACAAGGTCTTTTCACGGCTGCGCAAGAAGTATTGCTCTGGCACCTGCCTCAAGTTTGTCTACCTAGCCTGTGCGACGCTGGTATCAGCCAGCGTCATTATTGAATGCATCCTTGCGCATCTCGTCATCACCCCCTACATCTCTGAGTCTGTCTTTGAGTCAGGCGTCTGCTTCCTTTACTACACTGCCACCGGCAAGCGGGTGAAGTGTGAGAACAAGTGCTCCAAGGACCGCTCTGCCTTCCCATGTGCAAACGTCCAAGTCATCTACATTCCAGCTCCCCGGGCCCAGGAGAATCATATTCCTGGGATCATCGAGGCCATTCGATATCGAAATCCCACTGTCAGGCAGTACCTCGAGGTAAGGCAGGCTCGACTTCTCTACCTCTACGACTACTTCAGCACCTATGCTGCCTACAAGGCTGACAAAGTAAGTCTGCCGATCAACTGGTGCACCCTTTTATGCCAATCTTGAGTTTCTTTATTACTTGAGAATAAATTCTAAAGACAGCCTTCATTCATACAGTGGAGAGTGGAAGATGGCAAAAGGATTGTGGTTCTGTGTAAAAATTACCTAAAAAACTAGTAGCTGTTCATCGAAAGGAAATAACCGTATGTAGCTTCACCTCAAGAGTTTTTTCAGCAATTACAATTCATTTTGTGCAAATATTTGCTTTTTTCACTCAAATAATTCTCACCAATGAAAAAGCAGTCTAGGTGGAATTATACCCCAGGGGACTCTCCCTGGTTTTGCGGACTTAAGTAATTGGTACTGTGCAAAATTATTAAGCAGCATTATATTCCAAAGCATGCAAAGGTTCTCTAAGCTTTATTCTAAAAATTAATTTTAAATATCATTTCATTCTAAAAATCGCCCAGAGTTGTCTTTCTTGCTTAATGCACTTTAGACGCTGGAATGTCGAAGTAAACCTACCAAATCATTAATGGATTTGGGGTAAGTCAATTAAGCCTTCGGTTGAAATGAAGAAAGGAAGGATGTATCACCCATTCCTTGTTTACAGATAGAGAGGGTTAACGGCTAGGGGAGTGCATCAACTTCCCTCCTTCATAATTTGGTTATCAAGGTCTAGAGGCTGAGGCAAAGCTATGAGCTCTAACCCACTTCTTGAATCTTAGCAAAAAAATGATCCTTAATATTAATTTAAGAGTTTTCTAAACAAGTGAAATATATGGCCATTAGCATATCTGATTGGGCTTTCCACAGCATTACTTGGACGCAGATTTTATGCACGGATCAATGTCCTTGCATCACTGATTAATGCGCCTCAAAAGCGGTCTGATGGGGCGATTACGATTTGAGAACGAGTAGTCTCAACTTGAAGCAGAGGACGCTAGGAGTGGAGACGCATGTTGTCATTGGTGGGAAACCCCTAATAACATTCTCCACTCAAACAAAGTCTTAAATTCCATGCATAATCTTTTGCCCGTTCCCTGTTTCTGCCGTTCTATTCTCTCTCCTCCCGTCAGCAATGTACAGGTGCCACAGACGCCTCCAACCGACATAGTTAATCATCTAGTCCCCTATCACGATTTTTATAATCGCTTTAGCAGCCACAACTATATGAACTGTAGTTAATTTAAATGGTGGGAATTCCGTTATACGTAATAGCGCTACCCATAGCAAAGCTCGATTACAATTAGAGTGTAACAGTTGTGAACAATTTACAGAATTAGAAAACAAATGCGAGTGTTGCCTTTGTAATCCGGGCTTTGATGTTGAGTACATATTCATGCCAATAAAACAGAAATTGCCAAAATGCAGACTGAGGCGATAGCAACTTATGTGGAATATGCTGTCTGGATACGCATATGGATATGAATATACATATTCATATAGAGAAGAGGATACATGTTTGGCTTTAAAACCGGAAACCCAAAGATCCTAATCGAAGGTGATTCTTTCATATAATTATTGTCTTGCCATAAAACCAAACACTGTTGCAATTTGTAAGTGAATTGTTAACTGATAGTACGTCCATGAAAGGTATGCGTCCTTCTCTACAAACGGAAATTCGAACAAAGTGACTACCTCCTGAATTTCAAATCTTTAACCAAGACATTAAAGGACTCAAATCATGGCTGTGATTATATAGTTCTAAGGATTCTCTGCCTTGAACTTCTGTACTAATAACTAAAAGGGTACGAAGATGTGAATTGAGCGCTATTGGGCATGTGGCCATGGAACTCGTAAGGATTAATTCTCTTCTTATCAGAAGAGCAGGGAATCGTCAATCAGTTTTAAGGGAATTCGTTATTTTGAAGTTGAGTGTATGTAGAGACGCTTTAATTCTAGGTTAGATATCTACCTTCATCGACGTAGGTTGATTCCAAATTCAGTAGTAGAGGTATGACATTTGCATGCATGTTTTTAAACGCTGCAGGGATTGCGTATTTCTCCGGTGTGTTGTTCTGCCTGATCTAGACTGCAATGAGCTATTTGAGAAATTGGGTGAACCAGTGTAGGAGCGAATTCCTAATTTTGGCATTAGAATTTAAATTTACATTGAATTAATAACCCCATTTATTCTGCTTTGCACTTCTTCACTTTGGTAAGTGTTTTAGTGGCAAGAAACCATTTCTTGTAAATTGATGTCTGTGTGAAAATGAGACATTGAAATTAAATTTACATATATGCATTAAAATACTGTAAAATTTTGACTCCAAGTTTTACCCATATAAGTGGGGTCCTTCTATTACTGCAGTGCTCTACAAGTCCCTGCAACCGTCGTGAAGCAGACAACGTGGAAACTGTGGATCAATACCTGCGCGAGCTCCACGCAACTGGGCTGATGCCCTGCTACGCACTTCCCATGCGGGCAGAGTTCTCAAAGGAGATGCACAACTGGCGGGGTCGCTTCAATTCATTGACGATGCCCGTAAAGATAATAGGATCGCCAGAATCTAGGCGTGAGGAGGAGAGTGAGGTGGAGGCCGGCATTGACAACTTTCACATTCTGCCGGCTGCTAACGAACCCACCTTCCTCCCTCTGCTGACCATAGAGTGGCTGCGTGAGGGTTCGAACCTCTCGAAGGCAGAGGTGGGTTCCTCGCGCCGCCTTCTTCACTTTCCGCCGCCAGCACAAGGCGAGCTGAGTGCTGCAGCACTGATGCACCGCCTTTACCCCGACACCCTCCTCTTCCACTCCCTTTTCTGGCCCCTCGCCATCATCCTCTGCGGCCTTCTTCTCATTGCCCTTGCTTACGCTGTCGACGGTTGCAAGGTCTGGCGCACAGACATGACTGTCATCGCTTGACTCCTCCTCCGCACTCCCTTCCATTACAGATTTCACATGTGTGCACATATAGCTTTAGTCAACAGAGTAAATGAAAATGGTTCTTTGATGTCATCTCTTACTTATTAGTTGCACCTCGACTCAAAGGAAAACCCACAAATCAGTCTTTTTTCGTAAGGCTTGATTCTTTCATTCCCCGTAGTTTATTCCGATTTCCTCGTATAAACATATCCTTAGTTTCTTACTATCAATTCTTTTGCCGTTTTGATGTTTGTAAGCTCTTAAAAATGGGTTGTAGTTTACAAAGGAGGGCAAAGAAAGGAAAAATAAACCTAAATCTACCTCCATATACGAATTGAGGAACTCACTTATCTCGCTAACAATAATTATTGTACGTTTTGTGTAGTCAGCCCTCCTTCCCCCTTTTTTTGTTTGATAAACTTATGTGAAGCTTCGATGTCTTGTCGTGCTCTCCACACCACCATACCTGCAGTTTGGTTTCATATATGGGCTTTGAGCATGGTCAATACGGCTATGCATGGCATTTGGCGCTTCCTTTTTCCTAACAAAGGCGGTCGAGAAGTCCTAGTGTGTGAATGTCTCACATATGAACAGTTAAAATACAACCATAACTAGGGACGGAAGTAACCCGCATACCCGCATCACATCACCATGTACTCACAAACCCCACAGTCATTTCCACGAGGTACATGGATCGGGTTGTCCGTTGTTCAATCCGACTACTCCGTCTCACATGCCCAGAGCTACTAGTTTTCCTCGCCTGGCTAATCACACATGATACGACACTCACATTGAATAAACACGGTTTGCTATTACGGTTGCCTTCTGCCCAGTGCCATGTCATGCCATCACTGTGCATTTGAGCGGTGGGTGGGATTGCTGACGCCGAACCAAAATACTTTTATAATTAACATCTACACAACTTTTGTGACTTTATTTACAAAGACATTATTCTACTTAAGCGTTAAGGTTTTCCCTTTTTAAATTCTAGGTTGAAAATTCGATAATTTTTTCAAATGACGTTGCATGTCGAGGGAACAGTTTCTCATTCCAACATTCGATTTGGACACGTATTTAAGGTAGAAACATAAAACTTTGCAATCTTAAATTTACGTCCCAGCTCTTCTTTCGTCCTTTCACCGGTTTTGGAGTTATTTATACAGCGTTTCCCCGCTTTGATAGACTCAAATTTCGGTGTTGTGCCAAGCGGGGCTGCGCAAAATAGACACCAGTGACACACCTTAGATGTCACGAAGACAAACACCTAGTTTACAGTGCCCACTTATGGCTGACATTTTTACACTGATTTCTGGTTCTTACCGCTGCAGAATTGGTGAATTACTAACAGTATTTAACAGCATTATTATTTTTCATTGGCAGCATCTCCTTTTTAACTAGAGTATTTCACATTACGTACTTGAGTCCGAGACATAAAATAATACATCTGGGTACGGTTACCCTTATTTGGGTAACTCCAGATCAAGGGTACAACCCATTAAATTGATAAGTTGGAGTATGCGGTACAGATTCGTGCTCACAATATCGCCACCAGTAATTTTGCTTATTTCAACGATATAAATGTGGAACAATTCTGCAGCTTCGTACCATCAATACGCGAGAGGAATTGTTTAAGCACAGATTTTTCTTCAAGTCACTGAAGCATGGCGTACCTATCAAGCCTTTCTGTACGTGACTGGATGCAAGATTTGTTTTGTTTTTAAATTGCCTATTTGAATCTCCAACCACTTTAGCGGTGATATAGCATCCAGCCCACGCCATACTCATTAACAGCCCACCAAAACCCCATGCAATTTAAAACCAATTTTTATTCCAAACCGTCCATCTTATGACGTTATCCCGAGGGGCCTATGCGCA